GTGCCGCGCAGGGAGAAGGCCGGGGTGCTCGGCAGCCCTTCTGTCTTCCCGTGAGGCCGGGGCCCGTGCCAGGAGTGGGCCGAGAGACACGTAGCGCCCCACGCACGCACGCACGCACGCACGCACGCGGCTGGGGACGACGGCGCGAGCTAGCCAGCGTCTCCGGGGCCAGCCGCGCTCTCCCCGACCCCCTAGCGCTCCCCCTGCGAGTGACAAGGAAGCGTAGACTCAGTAGCGCGGAGGCAGAGAGCAGAACCTGCCGGCGACGTGCACTGCGCATTGTCCTGGGAGCAAAAGTAACTCAGGGAAAAGACGGGGGTTTTCCTTACTGCGGAGCTGGGAGCGGGCCCGGGGCCGCTTCGTGCCAGGGGCGCCCGCCAGCACCGAGCTGCCCCGCGTCCGCTGCAAAACGACCGTGACACGTGAGGCCCTTACGGCTGGGAAGTGAGAGTTTATGGCTACTGCCTTCCTTGACTGCCTCCCTGCTTCACTGCAGAGTAGACCTGATGGAAGATACAGTTCCTTTAAAAAACAGAACAAAAGAATTTGAGAGTCTAAAGGCCGAACAGCTATTTACTGTGTCTGCAAATACACTGCTAGTTCTGGAATTAGTCCCGTGCAGAAATAATGGACGTAGTACAGGCTGGGGATGCGGTTCAGTGGTAGAGCTTTTCTGGCATGTGTGAGACTCTAGGTGTGATCCCCAGCAGTGCAACAACAACAGCACAGATGTGGTGGCCCATGCCTGTCATCTCAACACTCCAGAGGGAGGCTGAGGCAGGAGGCTTGCCCCCAGTTTGAGGCCAGTCTGGGCTGCATAGTGAGACCTCATTCCCCCCCCCCCAAAACAGTGTATTTCACCTTTGTGTGGACTTGTAATATGGGTGATCTATTGCCTCTTCACATGACAATAACAGATATGAATAGAATTGAGTTGCTGACATTTGATTAATGACAGTCGATTACTTATTGTATGGAGTAGTTCTCCCATACTACCTTTTTCTGGAGCAGTCTCCGTGGAAATCTTCTCTGTGCCATAATGTAATAGTACTGTATCGTATTTATTAGCAAGTAGTTCAGCTAGTTCTCACATTTAATGTTGCTGATGTTATAGTAAGAATTTTTTCCCTTTTCCTTCCTTACGCTCTAATTTTTTTTAAATTGTCTGTTCCAAAATTATTTTCTGGGTAAAGTGAGACCTAGAGGATAGGCTTTAAAAGTCCAAGAGATCTTAGTGATAGCCTCTGTAATGGTTCGGAGCGTAGTTTTACACTACGATGAAATCTAAGGATTCTTTATGTTATTTTTAAACAAATTATTTTGGGTTTCTGTTTGAGCAAAACTTGTACCTTTAGTACACAGATTGTTTCTGTATGTAAAAGCATGTGAGTTTCCGTACGCTTCAGGATATACAGTCAGTTTTCAGTTTTAGAGGTGTGTCATCAGAACAGTAGTTGTTAATACCTTTCAGGATAAAGTAAAATGTTTTTAGTTACGAACTTAAGATTTTTAAAAATCTAATGCTTGGCATTTTTTTGGAGGTTATTTCTCTATAACCTCTTTTTAAAATTTTATTTGTTTATTTACTTACTTTTTGGTGTTTCGAGACTGATCTCACTATATTCACTCCACAGCCTGTGTTGGCCTCGAACTCTGCCTCAGCCTCTAGAGGGCTGGGATTATAGGCATGTGCCACTATGCCTTGCTATAAAACCTCTTAATCCTTTACTTGCCAGTCTGTTTGTGTTAGGTTTCCTTTTTTTTCCCATTCTAGCTTTTTTCCTGTTTTATCACGTCTGTCAGGGTCATCCCCTAAAGCCTCTTCTGTTTCCATAAATAAGTCCCTCACCCACTGTAACGAAATACATTCAGTAGAGTAAATTAGCAGACAGGGAAGAAAATAAAATTTTTAATAATCTGCCAGTCTTTTCCTACCTCCTCATAACAGAGCTGAGATACTTGAGGTGCAGTCTCGGTCACTGACTTAATGCAAATGGAAGCAAAATTACTGGAAGACATCTTGCCTTCCAAACCTACATGTACACTTTCTACTATTGAGGGTATAATTAGCTCTCCACTCTTTAATGAGAAAGTGGTATGTAAACCAAAGTGTGACTTTAAATGGCTTTTACAGGTAGCTTAAAACAAATGGTAACCAAGCTTTAAGAGTACAGTGAGATTGCTCTAGAAGACAACCTGGAAGTCCTTTTTGAAGTTTTTTTTGCAACTCTTAAGATTGTGTTACACAAGGAACACATCACTCAAATAACTCTAGGCTGTATTAACACTGTGGTTTGGGTAATAGTGGTGTTACTCATGGATAGGTAGTTTGTATGATTAGTATTGAGAATATTAGAATCTGTAAGCCAAATTGTTGCATGATTGCTTGTAAACTAGTTTGTGTAAAATAATTTATTGACCTTCTAAACAACAGAATTTTACAACCAGATTCTTGTACAATTTATATGGTAGTATTTAGTTGAAGGGTCTTTACTTTTTGTGAACTCTGTGTTTATAATTTTAAATTGCTCTGTATTTTATGCTAGTTAATTCATGGGAGCCTCTTCTACTGCCACCCAATCTCAGCTCCTGCTATATACTCTAACAAACAGTGGAAGAGACTGTTGGGTCAGTAGGTGACAACTGCAGAGGTATCTTCCTTATAACGATGCTTTTTGAGGTTGCTGCTCCCATCAATCTGCTCAGTAAAAATAGCTCATCTTGGTAAGTTGTTTCGACTTCACCAGGACCTGAAGAAGAAGCAGAAAAACCTGTGAAAACTAAGACTGTTTCTTCCAGTAATGGAGGGGAAAGTTCCAGTCGCAGCGCTGAGAAACGATCAGCTGAAGAAGAAGCTGCAGACCTCCCAACAAAGCCTACAAAGATCTCCAAGTTTGGATTTGCCATAGGTAGTCAGACATCAAAGAAAGCATCAGCTATATCCATCAAACTTGGATCAAGTGTGAGTGGTTATTTTATGTGTTATGTTTTTCAGGGTCTTAAGGTTTTGTCTGGAAATCTGCTTTTAGTAAATTATGATAAATTAGGTATAAAAAGGTATATTGCTTAATCTTTGTATAAGTTTACATGTATTTAAGAAGTAATGAAAACCTTGTGTAGGAAAAGTCTAGATGCATTGTGTCTCAAGTGGTTTAAAAAGTACATTTAAGCTGGGCATAGTGGCACATGCCTGTAATCCCAGCAGTCAAGAGGGTGAGGCAGGAGGATTGCTGAGAGTTCAAAGCCAGCCTGAACTAGGTAAGGAAACCCTGTCTTCAAACAAACAAACAAGCAAACACCCATGTAATACTAGAGGAAACAGCTCGTATAGAAAGTCTGTGACTTATAAAGTAATAAAAAAATATTTCTGAGTTGAGCAAAACCTCTGAAAAATATTTTCAGAAAGAATTTCACTTTTTTCTTTCAGTGTCAGTAGTATTAAAAATATTTCCGTGAGCTGAGGAATAGCTCAGTGATACAGCATGTGCTTAGCATTCAAGGGGCCCAGGGTTCAATCCACAGCACCACACATACACAAAATAACATGCCTAGAAATCACTTCCTTGTATCTTTTTTTTTTTTTTTTTTTTGGTCTTTTAGAGACAGGGTCTCGCTGTGTAGCTCAGGCTGGTCTCAAACTTGCAATGAGGGGGCTGGGGATTTAGCTCAGCGGCACAGTGCCTGCCTGACAAGCACAAGGTCGTGAGTTCTATTCCTGGTACCGGGGGGGGGGGGCAAAAACAGAAAAAAAAATAAAATCAAACTTGCAATGATCCTCCTGCCTCAGCCTGTCAAATGCTAGGATTACAGATTAATTGTACTGATTACAGATTACCACTCCTGGCTGCTTATTTGTATCTTAAAAGATTAATAGCCAGGCCTGGTGCCACACGCCTGTAATCTCTGCACTTGAGCAGCAGAGGCAAAAGGATTGCCTCAAGCTTGAGCCCAGCCTGAACTACATAGTGAGATTCTGTCTCCAAAAAAAAAAAAAAAGATTAATATTAGTAAGTTCTTGCTTGTTAAGAGCTTCTGATTATCTTTGGAACCACAAGTGAACATTGGGTACTATGTGCCTTATAACAGTAATACTCCAAAGATCAGTATTTGATCCATCCCTTGTTCTAAGATGTAAACCTTGAATTAATACTTACGAACCATTGAACCTCTAGAAGTATTTGAATAGTAGATTGAAGTTGTAGATACTTGTTTTTAGCCTATGATGTGACAATTTAAGATAGTTTGAATCTTTTTTTTTTTTTTTTTTTTTTGGTTTTTCTCCGGTACCGGGAACCGAATTCACGACCTTGCGCTTGCCAGGCAGGCGCTTTGCCACTGAGCTAAATCCCCAGCCCCAGTTCGAATCTTTTAAGGAAAAAAGTTAAGTAGTGTATTACCACTGGCTTTAGAAAAGGTTTACATTTTTGTGAATGAGGAGAACCCTGAAATTGCTTTAAATTGCTTATCCTTGTCCTGTGAAAGTTCGTGCGTAGTTGTCAGATGCAGACAGCTTTATTTCTGCCATAAATGTTCATTCAGATATTTTACGGTTTCTGGGGTTTTTTTTGTATTTTGAGACAAGGTCGGGGCTGGGGATATATAGTTCAGTGGCACAAAGCGCCTGCCTGGCAAGTGCAAGGTCCTGAGTTCGATCCCGAGTACCGCAAAAAAAGGAAAAGAGACAGGGTCTCTATGTAGTTCAGGCTGGCCTTGAATTCACAGTGATCCTCCTGCCTCACGCTCCCTAGTGCTGGGATTACAGGCATGCATCACCACCACACCCTACCATTCAGATACTTTAAAAATATGGTCTAGATCAGTTTCCTGCAGGCATCAGTTTGAGTTATCTTTTGAGTTTTGTTTTGCTTTGTGTTTGCAGTGCTGGGGATAGAACCTAGGGCCTTGCACGCACTAAGCAAGAGCTTTATCACTGAGTAAAATCTCTAGCTGTCTTATTCTCATTTAAAAGATATTACTCAGGATCCCCAATTCCTGTCCCATGCTGTTTTTTCTTTTTCCCTTTCTCCCTTTAAAAAAAATTAGTTTTAATAAAAGACATTCATCTTTTTTTTGTGGGGGGGGGCGTCTTTTGAGACAGGGTCTCGCTATGCAGTTCAGATTGGGCTTGAGCTCACTTTGTAGCCCAGGCTGGTCTCTAACTGGCAATGATCCTCCTGCCTCAGCCTCCCGAGTGCTGGGATTACAGGCGTGCGCCACCACGCCTGGCAGAAAAGACATTCATCTTGTATATGTGCTGCCAAAATGAGCATGACATTCAGCTCGTGATGATACTATTTTATTAGTACTTTTTTTATTTTAGTTGATTCTTTTTGTGCACTACTTTTTTAAAAGTTGCATAACCCTAACTAAATATTTTTGGTGGTATATTAAACCTGTGTTCTTGTATATAATTCTAATAGAGGTGGTCTCCTTGGTAATATATTTTGCTGTGCTTGGACATATTTCCTAAATTCAAATCCCTACTTTTTCTGAATCATTGATGTGATTTAATAATTACTGATGATTTAAAATGGAAAGGTTATTTTTTAAAAAGTTAGTAAATCCTTTAAGTTTGGAAAATGAAAGCTTATTTTTATAAAATCAACTATAATTCTTTTGAGAAAGTAAGGTATAGTATATTTTTAAAAATAGTTGTGCAGTGGTTAGTTGAAGGGGCACACACCTGTAACCCCAGTGGCTTGGGAGCCTTGAGGCAAGAGGACAGAACACTTAGGCCAGCCTGGGCAGCTTAGCCAAGACCACATCTCAGGTTTTAAAGCGGTTTGGGGTTATTGTGGCTTTCCTCATGGCACCCGCCCTGCTCGCTCCAGGGTGTGCTTTTACCTTGCTCTTTTCTCTTCATTTGTCCCAAGTTTGCTCTGTAGAGCCAGTTTCTCCCTCATTCTTCACTTTCACTTGGCAAAAAAACGAAGTTAGGGATATAGCTCAGTGCATATACACCAGTTTAATCCGTGGTACCACAAACAAAAGTGAAACTTGCTTTGATTATATGATACGAAAAACAATTAATTGATCAGTCAGTACTTGTGACTTACACTGTATAACATTAAATACATCTTCAAAAGGGTAAAGAGTATTTCTAGAGTCAGTATGCATGTTGTCCAAAATTTTTTATTCCTTCAAAAGCAAACATAAAAGAAAAGTGTGTGTATGGCCCAGAAGAGGGATGGCAATTTTGTTTCAGGATGGCAGGAGACAAAAAGATATTTCAGGCAGAGGCAGTTTGGAAGTGAAGGTATATGGTACATTTAGAGAATTGTGTCCCATAATACAGTTTGGTTAAGGTTAAATTGGAGGGAGCATAGAGCTATTTATTATAAGAAATCTTGAGAATAAACAGATTTGCATCCTAGAGACATTACTCTGCTGTCAGGCAGAGGGTTAGAGGAGCAGGAACGCAGAAGGTGGGGAGGGAGTACACCTGCTAGTAATCCCTTAGTTGAGTCACTAAGGGACTTGGTTTGGCAGTGTGGCGGTGTAATGGAAAGGTGGAGGGAGAGTTCAGTTTGTTTAGCAGTGTGGAATCAATGGGAGCTTACAGGTTTAGGGAAGAGTTTCTGCCTTGAGTCTGTTAAGAACTATGGAGCGAAAGTACCCATGGACACCCCTAAGTGGAGCAGTCCAGTACGCAGGTGGCAACCTGTTCGGGGTGGACTAAGGATTTGGGTAGTTAAAACTATAGAAATGAACAGAATTGACCAGAGAACGGAAGGTCACTAACAGTAAGCGTGAGGAACAGCAGAGAAGGGAGAGAAAGAGGAAACGAAAAACAAAAGCTCTAGAAGTTGAGAGAATAACCAGTCAAAAGCACTGTCCTGGAAACCAAAGGAGGAATGTTTCAAAAACAGCTAGTAAGCCAAGTAGGGGGCACACATACATAATCCCAGCCAAGGCCAGTCTGAGCTACATAGCAAGACCCTGCCTCAAAACAAATGGTAAGTAGCTAATTAGTAGAAAAACATGAGTCATGGTGCCTTGTATGTTCTTGAGGCACTTTGTACTAATTTTAATGCTCCTGTGGGAGAATCCTACTAATCATTTATCTGTACTAAATACCCCTTAGGGTAAGTAATCTTACAGATCCTAGAGAACTTTTTTTACAGGAGAGAAACTAACAAATTAATACAATGAAAATTCTGTCCACTGATAACCCACATATTAGAGATAATGGATTTGTCTGAAATATTGAATTCCTTACAGTATAAGTTTATGAAGGCATAAGGTTAAATATTTCAAGATAAGTTACTCATATCATTAAACAAGCTTATATAAATGTTACTTATGTGATGTTCTTTTTAATGTGTTTCTTCTTCAGAAGCCTAAAGAAACTGTTCCAACTCTTGCTCCAAAAACCCTTTCAGTAGCAGCAGCTTTTAATGAAGATGAAGATGTAAGTTAATACTAGTTTTATTTTACTTTAACCAGTTCATTAAGGAAAGTAATAATGGTAAATTGTAGGTTGAATTAATATTACTAAATTTCCTTTTAAAATTTTTTTGTGACACCTACAAAAACTAAATGTTTCTGTTTTTGTATTTTATTTGGTTGGATTGTGTTCTTATGCATCAAGAACTTTAATCACATCAGCAAATGCTTATTATAAGTAATAGTACGTGGAAGTATGTAGGACGCCCAAAAAGGAAAAATGTACTAGGTAGTATTTAAGTACACCCTTACATTTGAGGGTGACACATTATACTTGCAAATTACCAAAGGCAGCTGTAGTACTCGCTTCCATGTGTAAATATCGGTGATTCTGCCCAAACTTCTTAGATCCAGAGTAAGCTTAAAATGCTTCTTGAAGCCAGGCGTGGTAGCACATACCTGTAATCCCAGCACTTAGGAGGCTGAGGCAGGAGGATCGCCATGAGTTTGAGGCCAGTCTCAGTTACATAAGTGAGTTCAAGGCCAGCCTGTACTACATGGCGCGAGACCTTGTCTCAAAAAAAAAAAAAAAATGATTATTGTTCTGTCAGTCCCAGTTCTCCTTATCTTACCATGCCTATGGATGATCAGTGAAGTTTTCAAACATAATTTTGATTAGAATATCTGTGTTATGCTCTGAGTTTAGAAACTAGCCCCCATTTAAGATGTGACCCCCTTATGTAATAATTATTGCGGGTGTGTAACAACCAAAGACCTAAAAGCTGTATGGGTAAAAATTACATGACTCAACAGCATTTGGGTTGGGGAGCCCCAGCAAACAAAATCTGTGTTGCTGGGCATGGTGGCACATGCCTGTAATCCCAGCACTCTGGGATTGCTGGGGACATAGCTCAGTGTGAATTCTCTGGCTTCCATCCTCTCAGTACCCACCTACCCCACACACACATGCAACACACAACCAGCGGAGCATGAGCACTGGGAATGGAGTGATTTGAGAATTTTTATGTATGTATAATGGGAAACTATGAATTGGCTACTAAAACATTAGGCAGAAGTTTAGTAAACCAAGATTTTCCCTTGGTTTTGTTCATTCTACACATTGGAGTGTTTTCTGTATAGTAGGCATAGTTATTAAAAAATAAACTAGACGTGTACCTCTAGGAACAGCCTAATAGAACAGAAACTTATATGTAAGATATTGAAAAATTTTTTAAAAATCACAAGTACCTGTCAGTAAAATACTGAGGACATTCACAAAAAGAGAATAGAGGCCGGGTTCTCGATGTAGCTGGATAGAAAGACCACTTGACTTTTAGTTGAAAGACCTGGATTCTTAGTCTTGTCTAGTTGTTTGTGGTACATAGACTGAACTCAGGGCTTTCACACAGACCTACATCCCTAGCTCTTTTTATTTTTTGAGACAGAGTCTCACAAAGTTCCCCAGGCTGGGCTCAGACCTGTGGTCCTCCTGCTTCAGCCTCCCAAGTAGCTGGAATGACAGACCTGTGCCACCATGGTTAGGAGTATTTTCGTACTAAGTATAGTATTTGGTTTGTCTGGTGATTTTTAGAGTTGGTATTTTGTTTTGGTGTTTTTGTTTCTTATGGTACTGGGAATGGTGAGCATGCTAGGCAAGTGTTCTACCACTGAGCTACATTTGTCTAGTTACTAATGACCAGAAGCCTGTGAGTAAATCACTTTTTTTGGAGCCTTCCTTTCTCAACAGTCTTTAAAAATTTGTTTTAAAAACGCTGGCTTTATTTATTTATGGTGCTAGGGGGTTGGAATTACGGCCTCAGACATGGACAACAAGTGTGTTCTACCACTGAGCTGCCCTCCCAGTCGAGGCTGTTCTTTTTTGTTTTTCATTTTTTCCCATTACAGTGTCTTACTGTGTTGCCCAGGCTGGTTGGTTAGTTTTGGGTTTTTACATTTTTGTGACAGGATGGGTTATCACTGTGTAGGCCAGGATAGCCTCAAACTAAAGGCGATCCTTCTGCCTTGGCCTCCTGAGTGCTGGTGTTAGTAGGAATGTGTTGCCTCACTCAGTTCCAGGCTGAATTTGAGCTCCTTTCTGTCTTAGCCTCTTGAGTGTTGGATTCCAGATGTGTGCCACCATGCCCTGCAGGTTCAGTTTAGATGAGAGACAACTGCTCTGTTCTGGGTTCTGTAGAAGTACCTAAGGACTGCTGCGGTCAGTACTCGGTACTCAGCCCTTCTTTCACAGATAGCCATGCTTTCATCTGTTCGATATTTGGGAGCCGAGGTTTTGTTCAGAAAAATTTGCAAAGCACTCATCTGTTCCGTTTTCTGGCATCTCTGGGACCCTCGGGAGGTTGTACAGCATTTGGTCCTGCTTGCCTGAGTGTGGGTAGGGAATAGGCTGGACAGTGATACGGGAAGAGTGGGAGCCCGCGCTCCAGTACACGGGCCGGAAGTTGTAAGCACCCACTTCAGAGGAATGCCTTATTTGGAATGCCTAATAATTTGGTTATTTTTTGACATAGTCTTGTTTTAGCCTCCATACGTCCCGGTGTATTATATAATCGTACTTTGCAAATAGAGAAGTTAAATACGCACAGGTATGTGCTGATACAGACACATGTTGACCCTCAGTTCTTTTTTTTTTTTTTTTTTTTTTTTTTCAATTTGGTTTTTCTCCGGTACCAGGAACCGAACTCACGACCTTGTGCTTGCCAGGCAGGCGCTTTGCCGCTGAGCTAAATCCCCAGCCCCGACCCTCAGTTCTTGCTTCTTGTTTTCTCTTTTTGTTTGTCTTTGTTTCAAGGCGGAGTGTCACTGTGCAGTCCAGGCTGGCCTGGACCCATTCTGGAGCCCGGGCTGGCCTCAGACTCACGGTGCTCCTCCTACCTTAGCCGCCCCAGTTGTTCTTGTTTCTTGTCCTTGTTTAAAACTTGTGGTGCTGAGGGTTGAACCTAGAGTCTTCGTGCAGTGATCTACGCCCTTTACTCTTTTTTATTATTTAAGGCAGGATTTGGCTTTCTGGCCTCAAACTTTCAGTCCTCCTGCTTGTTTCTCAAGTAGCTAGGATTACAGGTGTGTGTCACCTTTTCTGGCTTCCTTTAAAGCAATTTTATTTTATTAATTGTTAATTTTGATTTTTTGAGAAAGGGCCTTGCTGTGTAATCCAGGCTGGGCTTGAACTCACAGCGATCCTCCTGTCTCCCCCTCCGTAGTGCTGGGGTTACAGATGTGTGCCACCATGCCTGGCTTTTAAGGAAATTTTCAACAGGTTCAAACCGCCGTCTTCTGTCGTATTGTGTGGTAGTCTCTTAGATGAAAGAAGACAGAAATCTAAAATCATTATTCTTTTTTCTTGGAGAACATAAGTAACTTTGGGTGTATATTAGCATCTGAGATATATTGAACAAAGGGAGCATTCATTTATTTTGGCCTTTGGTGTCTGTGAGCTGGGGGCTGAACCCAGGGCTTCACATGCACTCACGCCACAGTCTGCCACTGAAATACATGGTGGCCCTGTAATTTTGACTTTTGTTTTTCTTTTTCAAATTTTTGTTAGTATACTTGCAACACACAATGATTACATTCATCTTAAAAATTTTAACATTTTAAAATATTTTTCAAAAAAAAATATTTTTTCAATTGTTATATCTCTTCAGTCTCTGTTTTTGAGATAAGGTCTCACTATGCAGTTTAGACTGGCCAGGAGCTCACTTTGTAACCCAGGCAGATCTCAGACTCACAGTGATCTTCCTGCCTCAGCTTTGTGTAGTCTCCTTTAATCTGGACAATTCCTGAGTTTTTCTGTACACTGTAGGTCGTTGGCGGTTTTGAAGTGGGTAGACCAGTTATTTTCTGCAAGGTCCTTCAGTTTACATGTTTCTGCTGTTAGCTTATGGTGAGACCCACATTCTTCTGGTAGGAGCTCCGCAGCACTGACGCCAGGTTCCCCATCCGTCACAGGGAGGTACTTGCCGTTTGTGTGCCCAGCTCTCGGAAGTGCTAACTTCGAGCGTTTGGGTAAAATGCTGCTCCCAGTTTGCCTCACTGTGAAGTTACTGTTTTAATTTTGGCAATTAAAATGTAGCTTGTGGGGTATGTTTTGAGAATATATCAGAGTATTTACTCACTAGTGTTAACTTCCATTGATGGTTCTTGTATGAATCAGTTAGGGAAACATTTGCCCAATAGTGATTTTTCTAATTCCATCTTTCCTTCAACATTTATTAACTCCTACTGTACTGAAGAACTTGTTCATCAGTTTTAAAATTTATGTAAGTGTAAACTCCTGGATTCTTACTTTATTCAATAGGCTATGATGCTTAAGTTGACCTAGATTTGACAAGTAGAAGCTCCATTGAAATGGATCTTTTAAAACAGTATTTAGCTAAGCAGTAACTGTTGAGAAAGCTGAGCTATTCAGTAATTTATTCAGAAAGCTGTGTATCTGAAAGGAACTTGTCCCACAGTTTTCAGTTGCTGTTGAGATGGAAAAGTAGGGAGTTGGGGGTTTAGCTCAGTGGTAGAGCAGTTGCCTAGCGAGCGCAAGGCCCTGACTTTATGTCCAGCACCAGAAGAACATAAATAAATAAAAGACGGATGAGTGCTAAGAAATGAGCTTTGCAGATGTCTTCATAGCAAAAGATACTTTGGAGAAGGAGCAGTGCAGCGAGGTGGGTAAGCGCCTCTGTCTCAGTCTCTTCTGCTGTTCTTCAGCTTTGCAAGGGCTTTCTGTTCATTGTTCTTCAGCTTTGTGACATAAGGCAAGTTAACCTTGTCATCTTACCTGTAAAATACAAATGACGACAACCACACCCCCCACAACGGGGTTACACTGTGTATGGGCAGGATTTAAAACATAAAGGATATGAAAGTATTTAGTGTGTAGCACATGGTCACAGTAGTTTTAGTTTTAGAATATGAGATTTTATGTGATCTCAAGAGAAACCAGAGTATAGAATATGAGATTTTAAACATTTCAAAAAAATTTTAATTGACACAAAGTTGTACATATTTATCATGTACAGTGTGCCATTTTAGTATATGTATTGATCAAGTGAGATTAAACTGATGTCTCAAAAAAAAAAGTGTTAAAAAAATAGAAATGAGGGCTGGAGATTTAGCTCAGTGGCACAGTGCCTGCCTGGCAAGCGCGAGGTCGTAAGTTTGATTCCCGGTACCGGGAAAAAAAAAAAACAAAAAAGTGTTAAACTGATGTCTCCATTAGCTCAAACTGTTGCCCTTTTTTTGTTGCAAACGTTGAAAATCATTTGTACTACCTGGTTTGAGATGTACAGTTGAGTCTTGTCGACCGCGCTTCCCTTGCTGTGTTCTAGAGCATGAGAGATTATTTCTCCTGTTGGACTGCAGTCTCTCACCTGGGGCATCTGTGCATTCGCCCTCCACGTTGCCATTCTCTGGTACTCACTGTTTACTCCCCACGCCTGTTAAATCAACTTTTGTAGCTACCACAGATGAGTGAGAGCACACGGTTTTGTCTTTCTGTGCATATTTCCCTTAACACATTGTCCTTCAGGTTCATCCATGTTAACCTCAAATGACAGATTTTTTTTTTTTTTTTTTTTTGTGCTGGGAATCAGACTCAGGGCCTCAAGTTTGTCAGGCAGGTGGTGTACTGTTGAGCTACGTCCCCAGCCGCAGAATTTTATATTTTTAACAGCTGAAAATATTCCAGTCAAAATACGTATCAGATATACTTTCATCATTCATTCATAGATGGGTATTTAGGTTAATTCGGTATTATGGCTATTACAAAAATGTGGCAATAATATAGCAGTGAAGGTACTTTTTAACAACTGGTCTCGATTGGGCATGGTGGCGCATGCATGTAATTCCAGCACTCAGAGGCTGAGGTGGGAGCATTGTCATGTGTTCAAGGCCAGCTTGAGCTACATAGGAAGCTCAAGAATAGCATGAACTACCGAGTGAGACTCTGCACTCCACAAAAAAACGGATCTCATTTCCTTTGGATATATTCTCACAAGTAGAATTTTTGGATCATACAGTTCTAGTTTTAGTTTGTTTTTGTTTTTGTTGTTGTTTTTGTTTTTGAGACAGGGTCTTGCTGTGTTTAGGATGGCCCTGAACTTGTGGTGATTCTCTTGCCTCAGCCTCCTGAGTGCTGGAATTAAAGACATGCACCACTATGCCTTTGTTTTTTGAAGCACCTTTATATTATTTTCCTTAACAGCTGTACTAATTATGTTCCCATGTATAGTAAGAGTTACCCTTTTTCTGTATTTTTGACGGTATTTGTTAGTTTTTGTCTCTTTGGTAATAGCTATAGAATGAGATATTTTAAAATATTTTTAAATTTTGATTATCTGTAGTACTTGTACATAAAGTGGTAATTTTTGTCATGTATACAGTGTAGAGAGCATGGAATTTTTCCCAAATTTTTTTCTTTATTCAAAATCAGCATCCTTTAGAACATAATGCCATTCATTCAATCATTCATTCATTTTTTGGTACTGGGAATGAAATCCAGGGTCTCTGCACTAAACCCCCAGCCCTTTTTTAATTTGAGGTATAGGCTTTTGTTTTTTCTTTTTTCGTCATTTTGAGACAGGGTTTCGTTGTGCAGTTGAGGCTGGCCTCAAACTCACAATGATCCTCCCTCCTCAGTCGTGCAGCCTCCCCGAGTGCTGTGATTATAGGCATGAGCCACCATGCGGGCGAGAGATAGGGTTTTGCTGAGTCCCCAGTCTGGTCCTGAATTTGCAGTCCTCCTGCCTCAGCCTCCCAGAGGGCTGGTATTTCAGACATGTGCCACCATTCCTGGCTGACATCTTTCTTAAGATGATAGTTGAGACAAATAATTCAGTGCATTTGTCTTCTTATTGATGTTTATAATATTGAAACTGCTAAAAGAGAAAAAGTTTAGTGTGATTAGTAATTTAGTGAGTTAATTAATTTCAGTATATAATATGTTCATCTTTTTTTTTTCCTTAAGAGTGAACCAGAGGAAATGCCTCCAGAAGCAAAGATGAGGATGAAGAATATTGGCAGGTACTATCATTTTTCATAAATATTACAGAAAATTACAGGTGTCAAGAACAAAAAGTAATTTCACAAAAGTTTGGGGGTGGTTTTTTTTTGGTTTTTGAGACAGGGTCTTGCTATGCAGTTCAGGCTGGCCTTGAACTCACGATGTAGCTTGGGGCACTCCTCCTGTCTCGGCCTCCTGAGTATTAGAATTAGAAAGCGTGCACCTGGTTACACATAATATTTTTAGTATTTAGGCTTTTCTTGGGTATTTGTACAAAATAATTTTCAATGTTTTCGGTGTACTAATTGGTTAATTTGGATTTTAAAGAGTCATAAAAGCTGGACCAATCATAAAGATAACTGTAATATTCTGTGAGCTACTAGTGATCTTATTTTTTGTCCTAGTAGGAGAAAATACCTTTAAAAATAATAATTCAAGACTCTCTCTTTCCTGATACATGTAATCTGTATATATTTAGTGGGGAGTTTGAGGCAGGGTCTCTCTTATTATGCAATGCAGGGTGACCTCGAACTCACAGCGATCCTCCTGCCTAAGCCTCCCTAGTACTAGAATTACAGGTGTACACCACCACACCTGGCTCTGTAACCTACTTTTTTTTTTTTTTTTTTTTTTAGAAGGAGGAAAACA